GCTTAGTAGTCGAGTGAGTGGTTGCTCGAACTCGAAGTAATATAGCCCTTAGGCTTAGTAGATAGTCCCCAAGTGAGAATGGTTGCTCGAACTCGAGTCGGGGTAGCCCTTAGGATTTATAGTCGAGTGAGTGTTGCTCGAACTCGTTGATTTTTTGGTTGGCAGTCCCCGATTTATGGGGTAACGGTCGGCCCTTAAGCCTATTTATATATTAGATCTCGAAGAGGAATTTTTCTTGGATATAAAATATCGGTAAAGAAATTTTTCTTTGTAAGTCATTATACATATGTTCATGTTTTGTGTCAGGGCTCGGGCCAATCACATGGGCATGGCTCGTTTGACCATTTGGCCCTTATAATTTTTCCTGTCGAGACACTGTTGCCATGAAATAACGAAGTAACTTCCTTTGTACCGAACTTGATAATCATGGGCATGGCTCGTTTGACCATTTGGCCCTTACAATTTTTCATGTCGATACACTGCTGCCATGAAATAAAGAAGTAACTTCCTTTGCACTGAACTTGATAATCATAGGCATGGCTCGTTTGACCATTTGACCCTTATAATTTTTCCTGTCGAGACACTGTTGCTATGAAATAACGAAGTAACATCTTTTGTACCGAACTTGATAATCATCGTTGATATGTTCAATGACAACGCCCCCCAGTATTCGAGGTTGATTGTAAGGAGGCCTCAGATACTGTTGAATTGTTCCAAGTTAGCACGATCAATAGTTTCCTCATTAAAAAACCTTGCAGAAAACCCCATTTGGGACAAAAACCGGTCTAAGGGAAAAAAGAGTGCAACACATGCTTTCTGCCCTAAAGGCTTCGAGTTGAATAATCCGTCCGTCTTTGGTCGAACACCTGCAAGGGTTAGTTTCGAAATATAATTGAACGGGAGGGGGGGGGTCGTAGCTTAGTAGTAGTATCGTTTTAGGCGTGATACGTTCTAATTGCTTGGTAGTTGATTGTCGTTTTATCATACCGAGCTTGTAGTATTTCCACTATATGACCGGTATCGGTCTCTGGTCGACCTTTGGTTGGTAGCCCTTTTAATAACGGACCCAGAACCCAACTGGTCATCTTCGAATCTTATTTTGGATTGATATCGATTGTGCATATCGGCCCAAGTAATAGCTGGGTACTCGATCAGATTATGCTTCAGCCGTCGTGAAGCCATCGAGCTTCGTTCGTTTAGACCTTGAGTGAAAGCTTGAACAGCCCAGTCGTCTGTGACCGGTGGCAGATCCATTCATTCCATTTGAAAACGAGATACGAACTCCCTTAGCATCTCGTTATCCTTTTGTCTTACCTTGAACATGTCCGACTTCCTGGTCTCAACCTTTATGGCCCCGGCGTGCGCTTTTACGAAAGAATCTGCAAGCATAGCAAAAGAATCGATAGAATTAGATGGTAAATTATGATACCATATCATTGCCCCCTTTGACAGGGTTTCACCGAATTTCTTCAATAATACAGATTCGATTTCATCGTCCTCTAGGTCGTTTCCTTTAATGGCACATGTGTAAGAGGTGACATGTTCGTTGGGGTCGGTAGTTCCATTATATTTAGGAATTTCGGGCATGCGGAATTTCTTTGGGATCGGTTTAGGAGCCGCGCTTGGGGGGAAAGGTTTTTGTACTAATATTTTGGAATCTAAGCCCTTCAATATCGGCGGTGCCCCTAAGATCTGATCAACCCTGGAGTTACATGTTTTCACCTTATTGTCGTTTGCCTCGATTCTCCTTTCTCCTGACTCTATTTGTTTGGTCAATTCTTCGAACATCTTAGTAATTTCGGGATTAGTCCCCGATTCTTGCTCATTTGACCTTACTACAGCTGGCTCCGTTCTGTGGGTGATTTCTCGAGGTGGAATGGGGTCCGGTCTGCTAGGTACTTGGGTTTGACTCTGCAACTGAGCTATCGCTACCTGTTGAGCTTGCAACATTTTGAAAATCATACGCAAGCTGATTCCGTTTTCCTCAACGTTATGGGTGCCTCGAGATGCAGATCGAGTACCAACATGAATGCTATTTTCAGGCTCAGAACGTTGGTCTTCCTCAATAGCCACATGCGAATTAACGTCTAATGGTACTTCGACTCGAGCCCCAACGACATCGACACGCGGCCTTTCGGCCCTGGTTGTCAAGTTGTTGTTTTTTCCTTGAAGGCCAGCTTCGTTGTCAATAGGTAAGGCCATTAATTGAGAGTTCGTTGTTGCTAATTCGAAATCAAAGACACTTTCAACAACAAGTGTAAGAGGGTGTGTTTAGCAGATTCGTACCATATAACCACTGTTATCCTTAGCCCCACGGTGGGCGCCAAACTGTTTACCCGAAAAATTGATAGAGTTAAATTTGTACATAGTTCTAAGGGTATGTGGTATAACTTGACACAAATCGTAAGAATTAATAAAAATATCGAGTATTGACTTAGAGAATGAAAAAATAAGCAAAATTGGAAATAAGATGATTTATGATTTAAGCAAGATGAATTAATCTATGAAGCTCAAAAAGGATAACCCTTCAATATAGGAGTGTATGATATCTCAGTTATAATGTATGCCAAAACTTGGTCCTTACAAAAATATAGTCATCCTTTTTATAGTAGGGGGATCCTACTTTAAATATAATTAAAAATACATAGTGGGGAACCCATGATAAATCAGTTTTTTCCTAATTCCCGCCGAGATTCTCTCCCTTAGTGCGGCTGCAACGGCTCTTGTCTATGAGCTCGATCTTGATCGGAATCGGTATTGGTCGGTTTTCAGCTTTAGAGATCGATGCGGGTTTGAGGTCGATGCTGACTCGGGGTCCGGTAATGACTTGGGCTCGGTATTGGTTGGCCTTTGACCCTTAAGCTCGATACCATCACATCTCATCATAATTCGATTCGGACCCGAGCTCAATATTTGACATGTACCTGAAATTTGAAGCTCGTTTGTGCCTTCTTCGGATCTCATCTCGATATTATGAAGACTTTTTTCGGTCCATTATGTTCCCATCTCGATCAGACGTACGAATGCCGAAATCAGTTTCAACCGTATACAAATGTAGAGATATATCTAATCCTAATCGTTTTCGAGATGATTTTCAAAAAATATATCTTTCAACATTCGTAGTGGTATTTATATAGACAATGTTGGGATTAAGGTTGGACCGACTAATGGCCTTATAATAAGCTAACACCCCTTATGGGTGTACTAGGCCCAAGAAATATAATTTCCAACATTTAGGTTACTTAAAAATAATTAATTATAATTATTTTCTAAATGACCCGATAGTGTGTTAGGGTAAAAAGTGTATATGTATATATAGGGCATGGAGGTGATCATATGGCATTCCTTTCATTGAGAAGTTAATTACTAGGGAAAAAAGTCTCCGTCTCTGAAAACCATGCAGTTTTTTCTTGCTTCCTCTACCTCTAGCGTCAAATGCTGGTCCTGTTCACCTTTTTCTTCTCTTCTTTAACTCCCTATCTTCTCCTCATTTTGTTTGTTTGCTTATTTGATATTAATTAATTTGAATTTGCACTGTATAAGCCCAATACAGGAAGTAAAGCCTTTCAATTCTCGGGATTCGAACTCGAAATATGCTATTATCAGTGAGGGGTTCTCTAGTCTCAACCACCCCACTTCTTTTTATAATATAAGCAGGGATGCACTGAGTTAGCACAAGTTTAATTAAACTCATAACCTTTAACGCGAAATAATATTTTATGTGTATAAATTCATTAAAATTATAAAAATAATAAATATGAACGCATAATTTTAAAAATATAATGGGTCCAATACTAAAAATTTTATACACAAACCCATATATTTTAAATCTTGATCCACGACTCAATATACGTATATTATCTTTCACTCCAGCTAATGGTGCTAAAATATTCACCAACCCAAAGTCCTGTTGTGACTCCTATTTGACTTCTGTCTCAAAATCCCCACATGGAGTAATACGAAATTTGCAGCCTTATGTACGGATACCACTTGCGAGCAGTGTCATGACAAAATGATTAAAAAAAATAATTATCCACTCGTATTATTCATTATAAAATGAGTTGGATAATGAATATTTTAAAACGAGTCACATACGGATAAGAACCATATTATCCGTTTAGAAAATGAATATCGATGGATTTAACTTTTATATTTGTAAAGCCTCAAATTGGGGGTTCCTTGAATTTGGAAGACTAGGAATTCTCCCAAAAGTGATCATATTCAAGAAGTCATAGATAATATGAATATCCATATCCATATTATTCGTCGGTTAACTCATTTTTTTATGAGTATTAAATATGGATCGAGTCTAAAAATTTATCCATTTTTACATTATCTATCTTCGACCCGACCCTAGGACTGTCACCCTACTTGTGAGGCTCTCACTAGAGGTCACAACTAGTACGGATCACTAATTTCTGCTCACGCTGATTGAAATGACCAACTTCCAATAGGGCATTTCAATTTTAGTTCTAGTTCACAAATAAGGCATAAAATATACTAAGTAGTATTTTGTTATTCAACGCTTGGAGAAGTCAAAAATTAAGAGCAACTCTTTTTTAATTTCAAACAAGTTGTGATGGACTTGTGACGCGTTCTTAGGTAACCACGTCCCAATATATAGATTATGTGTCGTTAGTTAATTTTATGTTGATTATCCACCTATTGCAACTCTTCTCCTTTATGTTGGCACGAGAAAGTTAAGGTAAACAATCTCACAAAGACATACTAGTTGATAAAAAGATCATCCAAAAAATATAAACAAAATCTTAATTGGCAGGTAAAGCAATTGACTACAACTTTAAGTGTAGAGGTAGATACTTGAGCAATATGAGTGGCTGTCTCTTTAGGCGTGCTAGGCTTGGTTTTGCCATACTGTTACGGAATGCAGATTTGTGGATGCACGTGGCTATTTGGCATATGCAGGAAATTTTCAATAATTCGTCANCAAAATTATAGATCATACTTTTTATGAAAGGGGTACGGGTATCTGTAGATATATTTTGTATGACCGGATCGAATTGTATAAAAAATTCTTTTTAATTGTTATGTGTATATAAGTTAAAACTCTTACTATAAAAGTCAGTGTAACTTGTTCCATTATTTATACAAGCAAGCAATAAAGATACCCACACCCACATAGGAAGAGAAATTGGAGATGGAGGAAGATGGGGATAAGAAAATGAAGCAGTCGAAATTCAAGAAGATTTGTGTGTTCTGTGGGAGTAGCCCTGGAAAAAAGAATATCTATAAGGAGGCTGCCATAGAGCTTGGAAGAGAACTAGTAAGTAAATACTCTTTTGCTTTTTCTCTGTTTTCATCACTTTCTAAATTCAACGTCTGCATCTCCTGTTTATTGTTGTTACCTTATACTGGTAGAAGAAAAAGTTTTCTTGTCTTTCTATCTCTTTCACACCCATATTGACGATGATGCATGTAAGTCAGCTTACGCACATACTCTCTCAAATGAACTAAGTCTCAATCCCAAACAAGTTACGTCGTATGAATCATTACTTCTAATTAAGCTCGTTTCTGTCCAATAATGAAAATCATGTTATACTAGTATAAATGATGTCAACTTGCTTTTCAGCTTTTTGAAGTTATTCTTTTTGCTTGTATAAAACAAGGTATCAAGAAATATAGACCTGGTTTATGGAGGAGGCAGTATTGGTTTGATGGGTTTGGTTTCTCAAGCTGTTTACAACGGTGGTCGTCATGTTCTTGGGTTAGTTCTGTATTTGCAAGTAGTACTTGTTTTCTTCTCTATACATTTTCCTTTTTTTTTTTCTTCTGACACCTTGCCTTTAATCTTTGTATTAATTAGATTAATCGCCATATTAAACATTACTATTGGCTAAGATTTTACCCCTAACTAATTTTTAAATACTCTTGCTCCAGAGTGATTCCCAAGACATTAATGCCGAGAGAGGTATGCTTCTCACATCACTAGTACTCACTCCTTCCCATAATGCTGAGTTTAAGATATTAATTTAACTTATACTTATATTAGATTAGTGAAGTAAATGAACATATAAATTAAAAATAATGGTAGGAAACTTATTTCGATAGATTTATAAGTCATACTTCATCAACTAAATGAAGTAACTTTTAAAACGTGTGAGAGTTTAAAGAAATGGAGTATACATGTTCTGAGATTTCATGTATACGAGAGGAGAGGAAGGAGAAACACAATACTAATATATATCTACCACTACTAATTGTTTTTGGTCCTCTCCTCTTTTTAATTTCAGTTAGCTAGCTAGCTAGTTCATCTTGTGGTAGCCTCATTTGCTGTATTTTCTACCTCATTCTTATTATCTTTGATTGTTGTTGTTGGTATGTGATCATGAAACAGCAAGATGGAATTTTTGTTTAGTTTGTAGGTTCGGTTTAAAATTATTCTTTTCAGAATTTTCTTGTTCGATAGCTATCACTTTCTTTATCCCCCCTTGAGTCCTTCCTTCCCTTTTCTTCTTCTGGTCCCCCTCGTTCTAAGACATTGGTCCTCCTTGCTACTTTAGACATAAAAAAGAAAAGGGAAACTCTTTCTTAAGCTGTCCTTCATTTTTAAGTCCTCTAAACAAATAGAGATTCAAATATATATACACATTCTAATAATAAAAACAGTACGACCCATTCTAGCTTGCAAATCAACGAATCCATGATCAAGAGTGAGTATGTAATTAGGAATTAGTTTGATCTTATTATATACATGTGAGTGCATTATCTTAATTCTTTTTGTATATATATAGTTCGAGCAAAAAGCAATGAGATTCGTAGAACCTTCTTATTAATTAGCCTTGTTCTAACATCAGTTAAACAAGATGAAACTGGAGATATGTATTATTTCAAGCCTCGTCATCTTCCTTTTGTTCTTTTGCCTCTTCCTCTTTCCATTCTTGTTTTATGTTGTTGCAAATTATTATGCCCTTGCCCCCCACCTCTGCACCCAAGGAAGAACCCCCACCAATCGTTTCTGGAGATAATCAACTTTGTATCAGTGTGTCTGTGCGTCTTAATGCTATCCACTTGTGTGGGGCTAAAGTTTAAGTGTCAGTAGTTGTGTTTTGGATTGACTTGCTCTTGCTGTGTGGGTATTTTTGCATTGACTTAAAAGGTTTACTGTACTGTAAACAATAATAATAATAATAGTGTAGTGGTGCACTGTATTATATGCATGCACAGATAACTGGTGAAACAGTAGGAGAGGTGAAGGCAGTTGCAGATATGCACCAGAGGAAAGCTGAAATGGCCAAACATTCTGATGCCTTTATTGCTTTACCTGGTTGGTCATCATTCTCCTTCCTAGATTCTCGCTTGTTTTTCTTGATATTAAATATAATTATTTCCTTTCTTTTCTTTGACTTCTGCCGTGATACATTCTTCATATATACAGCATATATAGTGACCCGTGTAATATATGAAAATTGTATTATACATACACTGAGATGATGAGTATGACTTCTATGCACCTAAAGTAAATTAGTAGTTTCTTAGGAATTAGGTTATTAAGATGAAAAATGGGATACAACCACAAACAACTGCTTATTGTAATCTTAATTTGGTAACATAAAAAATCAACTAAACAATTGCTATATAACCAGTTAAGATACACTAGTAATGTAAAAATTATTTACGGTACTGTATATTTATAAGTTAAATCGGAGAAGATTTACAGTGTATAGTTAAGTAGGAAGAAAAAGAGTAAATCTGAATAATGCAGCATGCTTAAATTAATCACGGTAACTAACCAACGACAAAAGAATGCAGTGTCTAACTACTTTTGGTCGCCAAATCATGAAATAAACTGAACTCCAACTTCTTTTTCTTAGAACTGTTTCAAAGAAAATTTGGAAAACACGTAGTTTAATAATAGGCTTTTTATTTGCAAGGGAATAGCAAGTTAAATAATCGTACGTGCATGCATGGGGTAATTACAGGTGGCTATGGAACGCTAGAAGAGCTGCTTGAAGTCATTGCTTGGGCTTATCTTGGAATCCATGATAAACCGGTAAATTTCATATAAAATCCTAAATGGGAGTTCATTAATCAACTAATTAAAAACTTTTCTAATTATTAATCAAATGTACCCTTATTTGAACGGAATATTAATAATAATTAACGCATGCAGGTAGGATTACTGAATGTGGATGGTTACTACGACTCCCTCTTGACATTTATTGACAAAGCAGTGGAGGAAGAATTCATTTGCCCCAACGCCCCTCAAATTTTTGTATCAGCTCCTAATGCCACCGAACTTCTAAATAAACTCGAGGTAAATGATCTTTCTCATGATTAGTAGTAGAGTATCACTTTAAAGAAAAAAGAAAATATACAGAATTAGAACGATCAAGGCTTATAATCTAATGGTATAGTTATTGTTCTTAGAATGCGAACACTATGGTTATTTACAAGAAGTTTATCCATGGTTTAATTTTCTCTATCTGATAGGAATACATGCATATTCCCATATATTATTTTTCAGGGGTACTTTCCCAGCCAAGAAATTGTTACCTCGAGACTTAATTGGGAAAATGAGGAGTTAGATTGTTCCTCCAAATCCCACATATCATCAAGGTAGTTCTACTGATTATATGCTCCTCCTATAGAGGAAGCAAATGGGTGATGGCTCCCTGTCATCTCAGAAGACTAGCTTTAGAAAAATTAGGAATTTAAGTTACTTGCAGTTGTATTTTTCTTACATTTTTTTTTAAAGACATTCGAATATAATATTGGCTCGTCAGTAGAAGTTGAGTGTAGCTCATCCTCTCTAGTGACTTTTTCTTGATCACTTTTTCTCAATTGATGCTATAGATTATATTGTTGCCGAGCGTTAATAATTATGATGGTTTATATTTGTTTTAATCTCACTATTAACTACTTATCTTTTCGTTTTATTTTATGTATGTTAGTTTGATTGCACACCAATTAAGACTATGAAAAAAACTTTTGAATCTTGTGTGTCTTCCTATAACATCTTATTACTTATTCCTTTTAAGAGAATGTCATTAATAGTAAAATAAAAATATTTGAAATTAAATTTGCTAAATTTACAAAATTAAAACGGCATTCCTATTAAAATAATTTAAAAAGAAAAGTAAGAGATATAAACTGAAAGATGGAGTAATATAAAAAGTGGGTATACAAGCAATTAATTACCTAACCTCAAAATTAAAAAGAAAAAAAGAAAAAAAAGGGATAAAGTACGTTAAACAGGTTTACGAGACTCTTGATTAATTTCCATCAATCTTAGATTAGGAAGTTGAGCCATGAGAAAATTTAGAGAGAAGAGAAGTACGTAAACCAAGTGGAATGCCCAGAGGCAATCCCTTAATTTAGGTATTGCTCCACTAATACTCAATCTAACACCCCAATGCCCCATTAAAGCACAGACTCTTCACCTTGACCACATTTATTTTAATTTATTGAATAAGTGGTAGGAGTACTTTTTTTTACTGAACCTATAATTTATTTCATATTTGAAACAGTGATATCATTATTGAACTTAAGAAAAATATACGTGCTCCAAAATCCATCACACAACTTCATTGAACAAGAAACTCTCAAGGGAATTAATTCCTAATAACAATTGTAAATTTTTTTTCCCTTTTCGCTGAAGTGGATGTGGACAGCACCAAATGTGCATAATGGCATGGTCAAAATCTGGTTGCCTCCAAAAATTCAGCCAAACGATTTGAAATCTAATTAATTAGTGTTCATTCTCCAACTCTGCCTAAAAAAGTAATGCTTTTATTTGACGTACACTAATTGAGTTTTTGAAAGAGTTTAGAGGTTTGATCATTCTTGGAAAGGAAAAATTAAGAAAAAGGGAAAAGAAGAACAAAGTTATATCTGTAGTTACTATATATTTAATTGATGTTTAGCTTATGATGATCAAAGGATCTCATAATTCCCTAATTGGTGGCTGTGAAGCACAGTGAGATATAATATCTGGAAGGACTTCACGGTCGAAAGAATTGCGGTTGAATTAATAAACATACTGATTCATTTCTAAGGGAAGTCATTATATCGAACTAATTACATTGTTGCTCTCTTCTTCCTTTTCAATTTTCAAAGAACAACTGCTTAAAATATATTTGGATCGGATGTTTATACCAAGCGACATAATATATTTTAATATATAGACTTATTTTACTTAACCGTAATAAAATGATATGATGTGATTAACAGGGGCGGCCCAAGAAGATTGGTGGCCTAAAGCCAATTTTTAATTTGGGGCCTTTCAGAAGGAAAAAAGAAATTATTATAATATCGATGATTCATTCCGATGCTCCTACACATAGACAACACAATTTAGCACAATTGTCGCACAATAACTCACTTAAACCAATAAAATATAGGGCGAGTAATGTGCTAAAAGTATAGAATTTTGGCCTAACATCAGTTGTTAATAGTTTCTTTTATAAATAATTTAGTCTCTTCTAAGATATTGTTGATCTTAGATAATAGAACCAAATTCATATAGATACCTCACTAATGATGTGGGTTTAGGAGGAGTCATTCTCTTTCTGCATTTTTTGCTCAAACGATTACATCACTACTCAAACCATACCCTAAAGATTGTTGTGAGATGTATTTGATCCAACTTACCTTAATTAAATATATTGGGTTCGAGTCCTGCGGTTAAACAAATCCTGTTAAAACGTGTTCTCTCTTTTACTAGGCCTTACGCGGTACGAATCTAGATTAGTCGGGGTTTCAATACATATACAAGTAGAAAAACAAAAAATAAATTTGGGACCTAAAGCCTTTGCTTTAGTGACTTGACCCTTAGACCGCCCCGATGTGATATAAACACTTAGTGCGGATAAATTCTTACCATAATATACTAAATATTTATGACTTTTCATAGATTCTTTTTACGAGGAAATTAAAAAAATCACAATATTCATATTGAACAACGGATTATGCTCAATATTTATAAAGTAAAGGACAAAGTCAAAGTGAGTGAAAGTGAAGTTCTGTTAAAGTAAACAAAATTACATGGAAGTTAAAATATTAGAATAATTCGTTGATTACTTTATTTACCCCTTGATCTTGATGCAGAGGAAAATGAGCTTTCCCGTATATACCTCTGAAGGTATGAGATGAGACTCTATTCTTATTTAATTAGTGTTATCTTAGATATCTAATCTCTGAAATATAAGAAACAAGAAACCTCATTTGCAGTGAGATGAATTAAAAAAATATTATACAGTACCATTTTTCGAATTAAGGAATGTTATTAATTATGTACTTCAAATCAAATTCTTCAAGGCTCCACTATCTATTGCCACCTAACTTAATTATAAAAGATCTGCAAACAGAGAGGACTATGTATTAAAAAATAATTCAACCCTTTTTCAATGTAATTTCTCAACAAAGAAAAAAAAATAGACGTTACTAAAATTGTCCCTCATGCAAGCAAAATCAGTCCATAGCCAAAAGTTTCTAGCGTTCAACTTAGACCAAGTTTGGCAATAAAGCAATAGCACATATATTATATATTGCAATTTTCATGTACTCAACACAAATTATGATAAAGTCAACCCTTAACCAACCCATTATTCCCTGCATAAATCTCTTCATACTATCTTTTCTGGTGCATTTGGTGTAATCTTGAGGCTTTGCTTTAACTTAATTTGCTTAAGAAGAAAAGTGACATCTTTGTCATATTTTTTTCAGACATTCTTGCTTTCTTTATTTTCAAGGTAATGTATACAAGTATTCTACCCAGTAAGTACTCTTTTGCATATTCTGTAACTTAATATTACTTTTATTAAGTTATGAAAATGAAAAGTGGAATCTTTGTTATTCTGGTTTCTCCTATTCTTGGGTTTGATAATGTGAGATTCAGATTAGTTTTAATATTTGCAAATGAGGGAATATATATGGATCTTTGAATATTCTGGAAGAGAATTTATCTCATCATGGTGTTTCTAAAATTAATGTTTTCAAGTGGGTATCTTATATTTTCAGTATTTTAAATGGTTCCACACTTTTCCTGAAAATACTTGGTTTTTGTTTTCTTGTCCATTCTATTAATGCTAATTTTTTATTTTTTTTCTAATAAGTTTAATGGATTTTTACTTTTCTGTAATTTTTTTATGACAATATAAACCTCTGAATTCTAATGCAACCTTAACCCCCTTCCAGTGGGTATCTTATATTTTCAGTATTTTAAACGGTTCCACATTTTTCCTGAAAATACTTGTTTTTTGTTTTCTTGTCCATTCTATTAATGCTAGTTTGTTATTTTTTTCTAATAAGTTTAATGGATTTTCACTTTTCTGTAGTTTTTTTTATGACAATATAAACCTCTGAATTCTAATGCAACCTTAACCCCCTTCCAATTATTCTTGCTGCTTCTTTTTCCTTTTTCTTTATTTTTTTGTTGGAGGCCGGCTTGGGGGTGGTCAGATGAAAAACCTTACCCGCACCTGATGTATGCATTTGGTCTAAAAATATCTTTGATTTGGTCTAAAAATATCCAAGTAAATATTGTTTTCGCTAGACTCAAAATACAAGGATTAGAGTGTCAAAAACTAAGGGAAAGCCTTCTTTTCAGGCAGCTAAACCGGCCTTTAATTAGTGTCCTTAGTAGGAAATTGTACGTGTACTTAGTTAACGTAAAACGTTCTTATATTATTAGTTAACGTAACCTTTTAGCTGCATTTCTTATGGTATCCTTCATCTCCACTTTATTGCTTTGCCCATACACTTATTGTGTATGCTACATATACTATTTTTTTAATAACTCCCCTTTCTACCCTCTTCAAATAAGCCTACAAACTGTGTATTTTCTTTTCAAGATTTGTTCTTTACTGCATTTTACATTCCATCAGGTTGCACTCTGAATGGGATTAGCTAGGAATGCTGATATGAGAAGTGTGGATTCTTTAGATGGAATGGGGAGTGAATCTATGGGAGGAAAGGCTAAAACGAGACAACAAAAGAGCAGTTGCACAAGGCTTGTTACTGTTTTAACTTGTTTACAATTCTCATTTGCTGTTTATGCAACATTTCTTCTATATTACATGAGCCCCTCTCTAGATTTAAGGACTACACCAGACTTCAGTTGGACAACAAGAATTGCTCAGCAATGGAAGCAATTTATTATCCCTCCCCACGTCGTTACTCGTAATAATCAGGATGCTAATTCAGTTGTTAGAGCTGAAACTCAACCAATAGTTAATCCCTATGAAGTCTGTGAATATGAGAAGATTGATTTTGTACAGAAGAAGTCGAACGATGCTGGCACGATCAAGTTGAAGACTGAGCTTTATCAAGAAGTGCTAGATTTTCAAAGCAAGTCCCTTGGTGCTGAGACTCTTTCTGAGCTAATGTCAATGAAGTCCAAGTGGGATTTGCGCGGTCCAAACAAACCAAAAATTACAGTAATCTTGAATCATTTCAAGAGGAAAACGCTTTGTGCGCAACTTGACTCTTTGCTAGACCAGACTCTCCCATTTCATCATGTTTGGGTACTTTCATTTGGAAGTCCAAATGAGCAATCATTAAAGAAAATTGTGGACAGATATAATGATTCAAGAATAAGCTTTATCAGTTCAAGATATGATTTCAAGTACTATGGAAGATTCCAACTCGCTTTACAAACAGAAGCTGACCTTGTATATATCCTAGATGATGACATGATTCCAGGGAAGAAAATGCTGCAAATTCTAGCACATGTGGCAGGGACAGACAAGTATAAAAATTCTGTTTTGGGGAGCATTGGTAGGATTTTGCCTTTTAGACAGAAGGATTCTAGTTTTCCAAGCTATAGGAAGT